GGGTTCTTTTACATTTTGAGAGAAGCCAATTGAGTCTAATAATAATATCTAATAATAATCTTGTGTTGCTTTGATTATTAGTTGTACTTTTTCAAATAATACTGTAATTACTAAGATGAAAGACTTTAGTAGAAAGAAACTCAATTCTTTTTCTATCACCATTTTCAGGATATGAAACTTTCGATTGACATTTGCCGGATATACAGTTTGTATCATTCTCTTCACCACTACAAATATCACACCTTCCTGCATTGCAAGAAGGAGGTAAGGATTTTGCTGCACTTTTGCTATAATACCCAGTGTGTATTATATTAGAGATACAATAAATGATATAACATAAACCACCTATATGGCTGGTTTAACAAAGTTACTGAAGTTCCTGTTGGTCCCACGTGCACATGGGGATCGGGGCTTTCAGGCACCAAGCCTGTGGAGCTCTCTTCCATTGTCTTTACACTGTCCAGACTCCGTTGACTCTTAAAAAGCAGCTGAAGACATTTCTATACAAACAAACTTTTATTTAATTTGATCATTGTGTTATATTATTATTTGTATTTCTGATTTGACTGTTGAGCACTTTGTGATCTTTATCTGTGAAAAGTGCTATATAAATAAATTTGACTTACTTACTAACCGCATAAATTTAAAAGCTCCCCAGTCCTTTGTAGCTTCTTTGGAACTACAGAGTGACAACACTGATGTATAAGTGTGAACACACACACTGTATAGAAATTATTATTAGCCATGATACTGTATGTAGGTACTTAACATAACTGTTGTTTTCTGACTAGACAGACAATATTGAGCAGGCAGCGGAGGACCCTGGCCAGGAGGAGGTGGTGCAGCAGTGTATGGCGAACCAAGGCTGGCTTGAGAGCCTCTTCAGTTCTTTCATGGAACTGCTTACTCTTAGTGCAAAGACCTAAAGGACGATCACAACCTCTGCCTCCAAAAACAAACATCCACCTGCAGCATTAAGTAGGTGGAGGTGTTCAGAATGTGTGAAACAAAGCAATCAGAAACTGGACGCCAGAAATGCAACAAGAGTGGCCCCTATTTTTTTTTTAAATGGAATGTTACCATTGTAAGTATTTGCTTTATTGCTGTGTCCAACTATTGTACCAATTTATGAAGGCTAGTGAACTATTGGAAAGCAATGGATTTCCCCAAAAGTCAATGAAAGATTATTTGATTAGAACTACAAAGGTGACTTTTGTCAGGACTTACACAGCATGGATATATATGTGCAAGCTGTCTTTTATGTAAGTATGTAAGTAAAATATGTATTTAATGTGGTTTGTATAATTTACACAAATCCATTTTTTAAATGTACTTTTCTCAGATGGAATTGTTTGCAGTTCACATTTTTGAAAAATGTTTTATAGGTGTAAAACCAAATGGCCCGTATGCAAAGCTAAGCTAAAACGAATGGTTTAGTGAGATAAAAGTGAGGTTTAAAAAGACAGTGTGAATGTCTTTTCTTTCTATCTGCATCAGAAAAAAGCAGGACGATAATATATTTAAAACCAAATCATGATGTTTCTGTTTGTTCTTCAGGAGATAATGAATGATTGGGATTAATTCCCTTAATGAAGAAGAATACAAAAAGAATGAAGTACTGCTTTCTTAAAGGAAGTATGAGTTAAAATGATGATAAACCCTTAATATCAGTATTTAATGTCATATTTTTTTTCTGTTTGCTGCTGAGTTTTCCTATAAGTTGAACTCTCTGAGGATATTCTTGCAGAGTTTGATTTGTAAATATTGTACAGCTACTTCATCCTCTAGTTTCCAGTGGCTCTTCAGTACATGCAATTGCTGTATTGGACATACTGCATTAAAACTCTGAAAATAACAAATGCCCCAATGAACCAATAGCCTTGAGCTGAAGTCTTTTCAAGAATGTTTGCATCATAGCTAAGTGGATTTTAGCTAATGCAAAGGCACTGCCCAAAAGTTTGAATTGATGTATTTAAGTTTACTGTAGATAGCATCACTTTAAAACAACTGTTCAGTTGTGCTGTACAAGGCAGCAGTGTTCCTTCTTTTTCTGTAATTTAGCCTTACTCTTTGTTGAGAGCTCTAACAACAGAATAGTTCATCCATCAGACATTCGAAAGCATGGGGTGGAGTACAGTTTATTTATCTTCCTCTCAGGAACTTTGTATCTCAAGCAGGAATTGTGTGATGCAAATCCAATTCAGCATAGAGTCCTAGTAAGGATTATTTTGTAATCTGTTTCTCTAAACATGATACACAAGGACATTAAACCTAAGCAGTCCACAATATGCAAATGAATACTGACAAAGCTCCAGGTCAGCGAGAGAAAAGGATATGGAAAACCTTTTTGGGAACACCGACCGAATCAAGCACTCATGGGAAGACCAAACTGTAGGGTGTAAGTGTGCAGTAGAGAGAGAATGACACAGTTCATCAGTGTGCTGTGTGGTTGTAGTGCTGTAAATCCAAAGCTTATAGAAATTAGGGGTGGGGCTAGGACAGAGAGAAGAGAAAGAAGATTAGCTGCTTCAAAGGTTTCTTTGGTGATAAGAAGCTGCCAGTGGCTGTGTGTCCTTCTCTTTATTACACCAGCAGGTGAGTGAAAGATGTCTGGGTTACTGTTGTAAAACTAAGAGGAAACTTCAGTGTCGTTCAGCACTTCATAGATACAACAAAAAAAAAAAATCCAGTATATGGTTATCGTGCAAATGTATTTATACAAGCACTGAATTTTTTATTAGATATTGTTCTGTCAAATTTGACATGTGCTTTAATGATTGTACTTTATCTCAAATAATATTTGAATGAAGTTAGTTCATTATCAAAGTTCATTAAAATACTTAGTTAAAACTTTTTATTTGAAACTTATTTTTGGTGATAAATTTCTGTCCTGTCTGATCGTCTTTTAGTTGTGTTTGCATTTGGCTTTGATTTCATCCTGTTTTGTGCTGAGGCTTGAAGCATGGTTCCAGACATAGAGAGAATTATTGAGAGCATCGTCCGCAGAGACCAGGACAGCGTGCAGCTTCTGCTCAACAGCTACAACACACAGGTCACTATTCTCTGTTACAATTACTGTGTTGCTATAGAAGTATTTATTTATGCAACAATGGAAACAGTTTTTCTGTACATTCGACACTGTAAGCTAAGAATTTTAAATATTACTTATCATCATATAATCATTACAGCACTTCAGCAAAAAAATCAGGTTTCTTCTTATTTAAAAAGTGACTTTGCATTAATATATTAGACACAATTAATTAGCATTATAAATTGGACGTTGCACAAATTTAGAATCTGGTGGCTTCTAGCGGTTTTCCCAGAGACTGAGTCAGTGTTGATTGTCACAGCAGCTAGTTTTCTTGGTCTGGCTAGTCCAGAACCAGAGCTGACCCCTCTAGTTCCTGTCATGGTGCCCGTGTTGGTCTGAGTGGCCTCGCCAGCTCCGGTCTTTGAGCCAGAGCCAACACCTTAGTCCCTATTTTTGCTCTGCCTCCAGCAGGATCCACCTGTATGATGCTGCATTGCTGAAGGAATTCTGGTTCAATCATTCAACCTTTGACAAAAAACAGTTTAAACAGTTTTTCCAGTTGCTCTTTTAAGAGTGTATGTCATTATTAAAAATATGTATTATCTATATATATATCTATGTTGTGAACCTGCTATTCTCTGAAAAAAGAAAGAAAAAAATGAATATGAATGAATAAGAAATGATATGAAAAACGAGTATCCTTAAAATATTGTTTTTCTGAAATTAAATTGGCACTGCCGTTATCAAATCGCAGTTTGACTGATGTTCCTATATTCTAGGACACTTTGTCAGTGCAAATCTGTGATCTGGCTTTTCTCCGTTTTCCTAACTGCTTGTATTCTTTCATTTCTCCACAGTATGCAGAGTGCTTCTTTTTCAACACTGAGGCACAGGAGAGGCAAAAGGTCAGCTCTGTGTGCTTCTCTCAAGTAGTTTCATTCTTTTCGTCTATATGTCCTTTGCCACGGCCTTCAGCCACTCTCATGTCAGCACCCTGTCAGTTGTGTTTTGACTCTTAGCGTGATCTCTAAATGTATATTATAAAGCATGCTTATAGCAGTCACTGGAGTATTCTGATTCTTTGCTATTTGTTTTTAGAAAAGTTTTCCTATCTTCACAGCACATGATTTTCCAAGTGCTCAGTGATTATCCCAACCCACCAACAAACAGAGGCTTAGGAATATGTTAGATGAACTGGAATAGACATAAAAGTCTTCTTGGATTATTTCTGCAGATTTTCAGTTTGCTTGAATTTCTCTTGCTGCTTCTGTGAGGGGTTCTGCTGGCAAACTAAAAAATAAGAAAAGGGAAAAAACCAGACTATTAACTGCTGGGAATTCTGGTCTGTTGCGTACCCTTTGACAAAGTTCCTCTTTATTATTTTCATTTTGTTTTTCATCCTCATGTTTTAGCAGCCCTCAATTTTTATGAACTGCAGTTAATAAAGGTAAAATTTGAACCTGAATGATTAACAGTCCCATCTCAAATGAATTTCTTTCCAGCTCATCTGTGCTGATTCTGCTGTCCTCCTCCACCTCAGTCTTCATCTGTTTCTAATGCTTAAATATCAATTCTACTTTTTACATGTATTTCTGTCACTGTTCATGGACTATCTGGCTGCAGCAGCAACAACTGGAAGAGGTTTGGGGCATTGATTTTTTTAATTAGCAAACATGTACACTAGATAGAAAATTGATAGGATATGCATGTTGGTGTGATCTTAAAACTGGACGCAAACAAACTGATTTCTTTATCTAGATACAAGGAGTTTCTGAAGGGTTGCAATATTTCTGACTAGATGTGATAGGAAAATGCTGCCATCTCCTGATGGCAAGAAAACAAAGTCCAGTTCACTCTAAGTAATCAAATCACTAAACACAGTGTGGACTGTATCTACCTTCGTATCACCATCAAGACAAAAAATAAAAATAATGCAACAAATAGTATTAGGGAGAAATTTTAAAACTTCCAAATTCCAATTAAAATATATTGGCCATTGCACTGTATGGTAGCCGATCATGGGGTTCCCTCTACATGCAGTATGCACAGTGCAAACCACCAACCAGGCATATACCCACTGATAATGATAGTTCAAAAGAAAGCACTTCATTTTTTTAAATCACCTTAAATCCAGCCTCCTTGCTTTCCCCCAAAGGCGTCCTGTATATCAGCTGGTGCCGACACTAACTGGCTCCTTTCAAACACACCCGATCAAGCTTAGAACAGCACTGTATTATACATCACTAGTATACTACTACCACACGAGTATATATCAACATACCTTTAACATTTATTAAAAAAATTATATTTTGACGTTTTGACAATATTGTTTTTAGGAACTCCCATGCGAATAAAGCACCTTTAAAGTTAATTATAATTAGATAGAGAGACAGAGAGAGTGAGTGAGAGAGTGCTGACTCAGTATAACAGTAATCCAAAATAATACCAGTGTGTGCATGTGAGTTCCAAAACCGATTGCTAATTATATTTAGAGCAGCATGTTCTCAAAGCTGCTTGAACACCTCATGACTAAGCATTAGCAGCGCTGACCTTCACTGTGCAGACATGCTAGAGCTACACAAACTATTCTTTTTCCTCTACACTCTCCGTACGCTGAGAATTAATGTCATCGAGATATTTGCTTAAATGATCTTGTAGTTTTCAGTGAAACCATCTAAAATGTTCTAAACTTACATACAACTACCACAATAAAAGGATGTGGTATTTGTCCTAAGTACTTCAGTGCTTTTTGGTATTATAACTTTAGTGTAGTACTGTAGTGCAAGTGCTGCAGGATATAAAGTGAAGAGGATGTAAATATCCAAATAGAATAAAAAAAGTGGTCATGTGTACTTGTCTTTATTATCATGCAGCCATGTCATAATCATCACTCAGTCAGCACTGCTCCCTCAGCAGTGAATCTCAGATGAAGCCTGAATGAATGTTCAAACTATAAACACGCTGAGCTTCTTGTGTTGCATTAAACAGACTTTGCAGTGATTCGTGCTATTTCTCTCTCTCTCTTGGGTAATTAGTTCAGGAAGAAAAAATTCAGGGACTGTGCTCCTGCTTCCGACTCTGACATTGACTCAGATGATGAGAATGCAGAGCTTCTGCTCCGGCAGGTAGGCCAGTGATTATATACCCCTGTGTGTCTACTCTCATGGCTACATGTCCCTGTGTATGCTAACACAAGTCTGCCACACTCATCCCTGTATTTGCACATTTGGCATTCTTTGTCTTTTCTCCTTGCAGTTCATCATTCTAAACCTTCTTCACTGTAACATCTCCCCCCCGACTACTTTTTCAGGATCTGTCTGCAGCCCTGTTGTGCTTCATTGGTAGTCAGCTACAGCCGGCGGTTTTACGGGTTTGCCTGCATACACTGCGTATCCTGTCCCGTGACCGTAGGGCCCTGGGGCACATGGTCACTGATAGTGCCCTTCTCACATTAGCACACATGGGAGGCATCGCCATACCACAGACATGCCTACAGCAAGAAAATCAGGAAGCTGAAGGTGACGTGGGCAGATCATGCAGCACAACCCATATTAGAGCTGTGAGTAGTTGTGAGCAGGGTGCAGAAGCTGGCACTGCCCCGTCTGGGTGCTCTGTGGTTTCATTTTCTGTTCTTGCTGAAGGAGCTGTCTCTCCAGCCACACGTGGTTCAGTGAATCACTGCTATCAGCAGAAACATGATGGAGCGCATGTGGCGCTCTCCCGTGGCAAAAAAGACACCCAACAAGATAACAGTGAGGAACAAGAGGAGGATGGAGAGGTGTGCAGGAAGGAAGCCTTGAAAGTCTTGTGTAATGTCATCTACAACAGCCCCCGGGCACAGGAGAGAGCCAGTGCACTAAGGTGACATTTTTAAAAATGTGTCGACTTGGTCGTAAAGTTGCGTTCCAAGCTACAAGTTTCATTCTCTGCTAAGAAAACGATTGGCAATAAAGTCTCAATAAAAATGTCAAATGAAGGCAAACAAAAACATCAGAATGATACATTTGAGACATCTTACAGGATGCAATGTCAAAATACTCATATGAAAACCATTCTTGGCTGTCACTTATTTTCTCCTAAATCATTTACAATCTTTGCAACTATTTTTTCTAGTTATATTCAAATACTGTTTATTCTTTATATACAAGGATGTGACGCAAATCAGCTCAACTGCTTGCCTGAAAATGTGATTCCTATATTCATGAAAGGCTATTGCAAGGTTTGTGGGAGAGTCTGAAGGAGGAGATCTGGAGTAAAGTGCCACTCAGCTGCCACTTTTACAAGCTGAGGCTACTCTTCTTACTCACAGCCCTGAGACCTGAACTCAGGCTGCAGCTGCAACAGGTAAATGATTTCTAACCTATCAAGGATGGAATTACATGGTATCATTGCTTTCTAGTAAGAAAAAAGGTGATCTTGAGAAACTAAAAGCAGTCACACTTTCTTTATCCTGGGTGTGTATGGTATTCATTTATGAGCAACAAGCTATGAGTTGACAAAGGACATCTGTGACAGGCTTTTCGTGTCGGACAATCTAAAGTGACCATGATTGCTTCAAACACATGAAGTCTCTCAAAATGTCCTATGACATTGTTAGATATGATACTGTTATTTACAGGAGCCATTTAATATTCCAGTTATACTGAAAGTGGACCAAAACTTTAGCATTTTATTTAGATATCATTTCACAATCGAGTGACAGAACAGTGGATGTCAGCTGACTGTAGATTGTTGTCACATTAAAATCTTAGGAATAATAAAATTAAGATTTGATTAAGTATTTCTTCATCATAACTAAACCTACAAAGCCTATTAGACAAACAGACAGTCACACCACCTCCAAGCCCTTATATGCTGATCAGGACAAAGATGCATGTTTTCTGGTCTCCTGAAATCAAGAGTGTCAAAGAACCGTGCTTCACATCTGCCTTAAAGCTCAGTGGTTTGTTTGTTCTTGTCAGGAGCGGGGAGTGTCACTGCTGACCAAAGCCTTGGAGCAGTGCCTGGCTGTGAGCTGGGGTGTGGAATATGAGGTGCTTACCGACAGTAAACAACCTCCCATTTCCATGGAGGTGTCCCAGAAGGTCATTGAGATCCTCAAGACACTCTTCAACATCACTCACATGTTCCACAGGCAGGAGCCTGATGAGGTGATTAGCTGGGGGATTCCTCTAATTTAGCTGGAGCTTAATAACTAAATCAAAGAAACTAACATCATATTGCTAACATCTGAATGTTTGTTCAGGTATCACTAAATTATTTTGTTTACAATACCGTGTCCACTTTAAGATAATCCTATATTTTTTTTCAGAGGTGACCAATGTCTAGGTTTTGTCTCTTAATGGGATTTAAAAAAATGTGTAATACATTATTATTGCTGCCATTTACGTTGCTGTTAGTTGATTTGCAAATCACTCAAAGCTTTAATTGAAAGCCATGCCAAAAAAATAAGTTGGGCAGGGGCACGTGTTGTATTCTTTTCTTTTGCCGTCACTGATAAATAAGCTTTGAACGTCCAGTAGCAGAGCTTCAGTTTGGTCAGGGAGGTAGACCAAGGCAACAGGCTGCAACTGAATCATATTTAACTGATCAGCAGTTCAACATAAGTTGAGCCCAGACAGGACACGCCCCAAATCTCCAACCTTGTTCCTCAGTCTGTCAACTCTGCCTCAACTCTTCCTTCCTGTAATGTAGTTCAGTAATCTTTCATTGAGCTTATTTATATATATTTCCAGAGTATTACACATCTACTCTTTACAGTTGTTCTTGATCGATTTGTCCTCAGCAGGAATGTAATTCTCACCACTCTTTATACAAATTTTACAACAGTTCAGGCATTTTTCATAATGCAGACTCATCTGTGCAAAGACAACCAAAAAAATCAAGATCTTTTTCACATATGTCAAAATGTGTAAAGTCAGTCAATCATTTCAACCTTGTGTAAAACCTTTTACCACCATTTCAGGACATTGATACTGAGTTGCTTTTTCCTTTTATTGAAGCCTCACTGACTTTGAAAATAGTGCTAATGTGGGTTAAAAATTGTTCAGAAAAAAAAAGAAATGTGAAGGATTTATTTAAAACTTTACAAAATTGATGCTTGTGAAACTATATGGATCAGGAAACAGAGAAATATGCACAATCTGAGAATATAGTCAGAGTGTTCTGGTCCTTCAACACCTGATGCCGACCTTGTTAAGCCGGTATGGCTTCAGTTACATATCTCACACTGCAGTGTTAATGTGTTGTGAGAGTTAAGTGAGAGTTGCATCAACACAGTAAAAATGTCTTTGGTAGTGAAGCGTGTGTGGAAATGTGTTACAGATTTGAGAACTGCATTTAGAGTGGTGAGAATTACGTTTCTGCTGTGTGATTTGTGCTTCAGCCATCGAAAAAACTTATAACAGGCTTTAGATAGAAATTTGTTGTCCTACGCTGAAGCCTGATGATGCCACTTTCACATTATCAGGGTTGTTTATTCAAAGTTCTTGCAGAGGCAACAAAAGCATACAGTGTGTTAACTATGGCAAGTTAACGCTGTTTAAGCCGTCTATATCTGACAAACAGAAAATACAAAGGTGTTGCTACTCTGAAAAAAATATGTTGTTGGATTTACTTAATTCAATGGTGGACATTTGTTGCACACAGATGTTTTGCTTTGGCAGCAACTAAACAATTGAGTTAAATGAACACAATTTATTCATGTTAAATAAACCTGTGCAATTTGTGTTGATAAAATGTGACTTAAACATGTTTTGATGAAGTAATTTGAGCTCTTGGAATATTGTTTAAAATAACATTGATACAGTGACTGTCAAAAATTACAGCACTGATCTTACTTTGACATGTTGGTTCAAAACAGCACACTTAGAAATATTCAACGTTCTTTACTTCAACTGAATGAAACTGAAAATATCATTTCACACGACCCATATGGGGTATTTAGACTGTATAACTGTTCACGTTACATCTCTTCACTAGTAAAAGAAAGAAAAAATACAAAGAGAAATTTAAAAATGGTGCCAAACAGACAAACAGAGAACTTGTACAGAGCAAAAGGAAAAACAAACACAAAAAAAACAAACAAAAAACAAACAAAAAACAGCCCTGTCCTCATGGCAGTTGCAGAGTATATAAAAATGAACCCTGCGATCTGTTCCTGGAATTGAGCTTCAAAAATGCAGCAGAACAAGTGTGAGATTTAAATGTCTTCTCACCTAGAGCTGGTCACCTCACATGCATAACCGTGAGCTTTCCTTGCAGGAGCAGTTTTGTCTTAGTTGTGAGCTTTTCTTGAGAGCTGAGTTGCATCCAACTCCATTACCACCCTTTGAATCACCTCAAAAGTGTAGCAGAGCTGTGATGGTAACTCCTATTGAAGGAATAAAAAAGGTCCAAACAGTATGGCTACTGCAAAGGTCACGTTATCCAGATCTTGAAGAACTACTATACCCTCGATGATGATGCCAACATCAGAAAAGTCATTGCCTGGCGCATCTCTGGAGACAGATGTTCATTGTGGTTTTCTCAATCTGTGCAGTGGCCTCAGTCAAGTCCTGGTTAAACACAAAACATTTTTTTAAGATTCCTTTTTAAAACTTATCTCTTTTGAATCTACCAGTTCTAATGTTAGAGTAATTTAAACCAATGCAAGCAACATAGTAAATAGCTATAGCCAACGAGTGGCCTGCCATGCTGCCATTCATGGTCTAACAGAGTTTCTAAGAGAGGGTGAAAAACATAATAATTTCAAATGCTTTACATTAGTTTTTGTTAGAAAGACAACGGCCCATCAGAAATCCAGGTTATGTCACTCAGAAGATGTTAGAATTTAGACTTTCAGCCCCATAATTTGGTTAGCTGTTGATCAGTTGGTCATTTTTTTTTCAAACAAAAGCTAATGTAAATACTGGTGGGATTTTCCTTGGTTCACTAGAATGACAAATTTAAAGTTTTTTCACACTGATGTGACCCCTAATACAGGGGTGGGGGTGGGGCCTCAAGGGCCGGTGGCCGAGTTCACTACCAGGCTTCATGTGAACTTCAAATTATTAAAGAGGACTACTGGTCCTAACCAGTCCAATGAGGATCAAGTGGATAACTAAATGCATTTTTAAATGTTGCAAAGCCACAATCTACTCATAAAACACTCACCATGAACTCCTGCACCAAGATGTTGC